CGACCAGCCCCTTCACCTCCACAACCAACCAATTCAGTAGCCCACCCCATATACCGTCCTCGGCTGTCACACCTTCTAGTCCTAACAGTTCATCATCTTCTCCTCCCATCACCTCAGTTGGTCCCCGATTTAATGTTCATCCCATGCAAACTCGGGCTAAGTCCGGTATTTTTAAACCAAAAACAATTTTTACGTTAAACACAGTGGTTAGTGCAGCCGATCCGACTTGTTTTTCTGAGGCACAAAAACATTTAGTTTGGCGTGAGGCTATGGCGGATGAATTTAATGCGCTTATTTCCAATAATACCTGGGATTTAGTTCCATTTGATAGCTCTAAAAATGTGGTCGGGTCAAAGTGGATTTACAAAACTAAGTTTCACTCCGATGGGTCTATTGAGCGCCACAAAGCACGTTTGGTTGCTCAAGGGTTTAATCAGCAGGCTGGAGTAGATTTTTCTGAGACTTTTAGTCCTGTCGTTAAACCCACCACTGTTCGTATAGTTCTTACTCTTGCTATTTCTTTTGGGTGGGTTATGCGTCAGTTGGATGTAAAAAATGCATTCCTTCATGGTTATCTTACAGAGGAGGTCTATATGCGTCAACCGCGGGGTTTTGTCCATCCACAGTTTCCTCATCATGTGTGTCGTTTACGCAAGGCCATATACGGTCTCAAACAGGCCCCGCGGGCGTGGTTTCATCGTTTTAGTAGTTTCTTACTTACTCATCATTTTGTGTGTAGTAAGTCAGATAATTCTTTGTTCATTTACCGGACCGGTCAGTCAGTTATGTATTTATTATTATATGTGGATGATATTATTATTACTGGCAATTCTCCATCTCTTGTGTCTTCTTTCATTACATGTATTGCTTCTCATTTTGCTATGAAAGATCTCGGTGATCTTCATTATTTTTTGGGAGTCCAGGCTGTTCGAAACTCTACAGGAGTTTTCTTGTCTCAACAAAAATATGTTTCTGATCTTCTTCTTCGTTTTCACCTACACACTCTCAAGTCTGTCCGTACCCCTGTCGCCACTCGTACATCTCTCTCTCTCACTGATGGTGAACTCCTTGCTGATGCTACGGAGTATCGAAGTATGGTAGGTGCATTGCAATATTTAACTTTGACAAGACCTGATATTACTTATGCAGTTCATTTAGTGTCTCAATTTATGCATGCCCCACGCACCACTCACATGCTTGCTGTCAAGCGCATATTTCGCTACTTACAGGGTACCATTGATCATGGCTTATGGCTTCAAAAATCTGCACGCTCCTTGTATCTTTTGGCTTACTCCGATGCTGATTGGGCAGGATGTCCAGACACTTCCCGCTCTACTACAGGTTTTGCTATTTTTCTGGGTCCTAATCTTGTATCTTGGAAATCCAAAAAGCAGCCTACGGTGTCTAAGTCTTCTACAGAGGCAGAATATCGAGCCATAGCATATACAGTACAGGACACGCTTCACATACGTTCGGTCCTATTTGAGCTCGGCTACCCTGTCCGTAATCCAGTGCAGTTATTTTGTGATAATATCTCGGCTTCCTACTTGACTGCTAATCCTGTTCAGCATGCTCGCAGCAAGCATATTCAGATTGATTATCATTTTGTTCGCGAGAGAGTTGCTCATGGTGATCTATTGGTGAAGTATGTTCCCACACACTTACAGCTTGCGGATATATTCACTAAAGCTTTATCTAGTCAGCAGTTTAATTTTTTAAAGAACAACCTGCGCGTTGTATCTCCCGCACAGCTTGAGGGGTGTAATAGTTAATATAAAATAGGAATTCTTGTATCTTTTGGAAACTCTTATTCAGTATAAATATACCTGCCAGGACTCCTATTGGAGTACCTCTTTCCCATTATTTCACAAGCCTAACTAAAATAGCTCATTTCCATGATGTGAGATATAGGCTAGAACTGCATTCTTTGAGAGGCTGAGCTAAAAGCTCTTAATGATTATCATAACTCTTAATTTAAGTGTGGTGTGAAAAAGCGGTACACACTTGATGATATCACCTATATGAGTGTGAGGTGGGGCCGCCTCCATGAAACATTGACAACGTTTCTAAAGCACTCAATAAAACCAGGCACGCACACGGCCTAAAGGCGCACAACGGCGATAATGGCGAGAAAGGTGGGGGTGAAAAATGATCCTCGAAGACACTGACTTACCAAAGTAGATTATTGGTTCATAAAAACTATGTGTTTCACCAATAAACTCGGTAATTAAAGACTTAGACGTCTAGGTCTGGTTCAAGTCTACGCGACACCAGATTGAAAAATCTCACCCCATATATGAACCCGATAAGGAATTGCTATTTTTCAATAATTAGAATTATTCATTTGAAATAGTGGGGGATTGTTGGAAATTTTGGGATATTTCAAATGAATAAGTTTTTCAATTATTTTTCTAGGAAATTTTATCACGACTTTAAAAACCATTTTACCCTACCATTTGTGAAGCCATTACTAAACGTTAAACAATTAACTTAATATATGAATTTGGCTAAACTTTTTCTAACGTTGGGCATCATTAGGAGTTAATACAAAAACGCTTTGTATCATTATTCATTATTCCTTAAATGCCTTTAATATTACATAATTCATACTTTAATTTCATTAAAGTTTATATGGTGACCCTTTAGTAACCTACGTTCGGTTCATTGTGTATTTGGACATATATATAAGATGCTTGCAGCCACAAACAAAACAAAAATACTTGGCAGAATAGACATATATGCTTGCTGGAGTTGTTGCACTCATTCTGCTTATTGAAAAGGGAAAATGGGTTATGGGTGTTGTGGGATTACAAAGAGAGAAGGCTACGTACCACCTTCATATATGCCTTAATTTTCTATAGATGAAAAAGTATTTACGGTGAAGTGTGTATACAAGTATACAACAAATTAACCATCACCTTTATTACTGGGTTCATATACTATTTTCTTCTCGTTAGTTCTGGTACCGGTTTGATAACTGAAGGGCTCGTTATATCATGGGGGAAATTTCCGTACGCCGGAAATAATTCCTTAGGACAGCGTCTGACGCGTCCCGAGCCATTAACATGTTTTGATGTGTTTTTTTTAGTGATCATTCTGTAGGTCCATTCTTGGAGTTAGAAGGTCAACAAAGTCAACTTAGGAGCAACACGGTCAACACGTTGATGTGGGAAGAATACAGCCAACAATCTCTTGATTGGATGATTCAAATCACATTAGGCAAATTGTAGTGGATAGAGGACTTCATTATCTACAACTTTCATGAAGGAAGTTTTGTCAAATTCGGAAGTTTGACGTACGCCGTGCGTAGGGGAACGCACGACCGTGCTTCTGAGTCGAGAAAGCAAGGAAGACACTGCCAGCAACACACGGCCGTGCGTGGGGGGGGGGGGGGGACGCACGTCGTTCGTAGCCCCGGGTTCTGCGAAATTGAATCCCAAATCGGCCCGAATTCATATTTTCCCCCTTTTTTCTATAACTAAGGCCTCCCTAACCCCTTTTAAGTGTTACGAACATTACGGAGAGGCCTAGGGGCGAAATTACTTGCATTTTTATCATTGTTTACTCCAAGACCCTGAGATTATTTGTAAGTTCATCTTTTTAATTAATGACAATTTATTCTATTCATCCCAATTCTGTTGATTCTTCAATTATGAATTGTGAGTAGTTTAATTAAGGATTTGGGATTGATGAAGGGGTTAATCATAATGTATGGCTAGATTCTTGATGGTTTAATTGCATGAATGTCGTTTAATTTGTGTTTGAATAATTTAACTCATATCTTTTGTAACCTAGAACGGCCGCTAGAATTACAATTGTTTGTAGAATAAATTAAGAGAGATCTAGTTTATTCTAGGACACATTCACACACACTTAATCGTTCGCTAAGAGATTAGTAGTGATTAAGGGGTCATGAGCTCGCTCGTCTTGGCAATAATTTAAGATCTTGTCGCATGAGAGATCAACCTAGTCCCCTAAATTATTGTACTCTATGCCGCAAGAGCGGTAAGAACTTAGTAATGATTAGCTAGGCCCAATTAAATTAATTTCATGTAATTAAGCCTGATCTTCCAGAAATCTGGTTACCCCGGAATCAATCCATGTTCCCTTCGTCATTAATTAGAAAGAACCCCTTAGTCTAATCGTTTCATTCGCATTTTAATTTCCAAATCAACCATTTATCTCGCACGACGCATTTATTTTATTTCTTTTTAATCGTTGAATTTAATTAATTCTTGATTCCCTTTTGTCTGTCGCTGTAGTGGAGACGATACTCGTACTTCACCACTATACTACGATCTATTTTAAGTGCCATAAAACTCACATCAAAACTACTCCGGAATGCTTATATATGTTACTTGAAACCTTTAGCTTTTTCTTACTTAGGGTGTGCTACAGTGCTTGGAGTTGATTTTCGGGAGGCAGAGGAAGACATGAAATGGTTGGTGATCGATCCTCTTATTTGTGTTAGGGAGCTTTAAAAATGTGGAGGAATAGTTTTGGAAGGTTTTTGTAACCCTAAAAAACACCTCAAATGCTTACTTTCTAAATTCCTTCAAAATGGGGGATTTGAAGGATAACTAACCAAATGATAGTTTAAGCTGAATTTAAAATCATTATTAGTTTGAGTTCATCATATTTCAGAAAACAATTTTAATTATAATTTCTTCTATAACTCTCTTTTTCAAATTACTACTCCCAAATAAGAAGAATTTCCTCACCTTTCTCTCTCTTTCCCCTCCAACAACTTACCTTCAAAACCTTCCCTTCCTTTTCCCCCAAACTCTCAAACACACTCTTACTGGCCGGTGTTTTGCATGTATAGTAAGTAATCAATTCAATGTGGTATTACTTTTTTCTTTATATGCATGCTTAGGCTTCCTAGTCATATGTATGGCTCCTTATAGATCGATAGATATATTGTCAATATATATATATATAGAGTATATATATATGTAGTATAGAGAGAGATACAGAGAGTAGTAGTTATAATCACATACCTAAACATGAGAATTTGAAGACGAGATGCAATTAACCTCTTATATATCGGGATCATTGATGGTGGGCTGTCTATCCATTGCGTAATCACAGGACTTCAACAATGTACCAAAATCGAACAATATGACTTATACATATGATTATTATAACACACAAATCAAATAGATAGCGTGCAATAATTTTTTTGTAGAATGGGCCACTACATTAAAATCAAAGCCAAAAATAAGAAATATAGAGCAGACCAACCTGCACGTGCTCCAAGGGAAGGGAAGCTTGGTGGTGTTGGCATGCAAGGCTTCTTGCACCTTTGGGAGATTGAGGTATTTCCTCACATAATGACTTCCGCAAGGATAGTATCCGTAAATCTTTTTATTTTTTATCTCAGTTGAAGAACTATTAGAATCCAAACACAAGGGGCCATAGATGTTGTAAGGATCTATATTATCTCCGATCTCTGTATCCATTGCATTCGAGAAGTCAGAACATTCTTTGCTGCTAGAGTTTGTAAGGCAGTACTTTTGCAGCCCTAGATGAGTTTCATCTGAGATTAGGGCATGGCTCCATAAGTAGTCAAAAAGTCCTTTAATGTCGGTGTCATCATTTAGTATCCCATTTCCTATCTACAAAAGTCAAACCAAGAAACGGTAGGGAGTAATTAACACACAAACACACATATCATACTTCTTCCTTCCCCGAATTAAGTTCATGCTTAGATTTTTTGGATCAAAATTTATTAATTTGGACTGTTTTTAATGTACTCACACTTCTATTATAGTATATGATGCTCTTTGTTAAATGCCAACATCCCTAAACTAGGATGAGGTATGACCATGTGACCTCTTCCTTGTGAGTGTCACAATAATGACATCGACCCACAAGGTGCTTGTCACTTCCACTGCTAATTATCAAATTAAATTATTTTATAGCAGTACTTTTGATAATTAAATACTTTATATTAATATATCGTAAAAATTCTCGAAATAAAACTAAAAAAGTTTGAAAATTCTAAAATATGATTGTCATATTTTTATTCCCAGAATATGATTGCCAAGTGTGGAAAATATGGTCATGTTTAAAGTCTCGCACTGCCAATAAAATTTACATATTCAAAGCCTGATAAAAAATGTAAATTTGATAAAAATTTGATTTATAAAGTAAAAAATTAAAAATAATTTAAATTAACCATGTGAATAGTGGACAGGAACCTTCTAAAGGGACGGAGGTAGTATGTGGTAATAGTCAAATATGGACTTGGGCAGCCAATGTAAATCAAACTAGAGACTTAAATCAGAGAGGAGGGAGTATATATATAATCACACATGTATGCATGTTAAGTTGAATAGTAAAAGTCTTATGTGCATGGTTGATGGTTAGTTTTTTTTTTTGAAGAGGTTGATGGTTAGTTATTAAATGTTAATGTACCCTCCACAAAACTTTAAAACTATTTGACTTTATTTATTGGATGGTGATCGGTCTTCTTCTTCTTCAAGTTTGGTTAATTATACTCCGTACTTTTAATAAAAATTATTTATAATATATAAAACTTATAACTTATAAAACTTATAAGTTATATAATATATAACTTTTCATAATATATAAAACTAACTTTAAAACAAACATTTTTATTACCATAACTATGCATACGTTCTACATACCATGATTCCCTTGAGTTGGATCTTTATGGTTGTTCTGGGCAGCTTATTTCTCGTGACAATTAAATCAGCAAGTTGTGGGATGTAGTGTCCTATGACATGCACGATTAAAGAGAGAGCTTGTCAATAAATCTCAACTACTCTTGCTCATCTTCTAGTGGATTTTTAAATAAGAAAAAAGGCTCATGCATGTCAAGCTTAGATCGACCAATAATCTTGAATTATAATTACCTGCATAGCTTTCTCCAATAATATAAAAATCATGGTTCTTGTAATTTGGGTATCTTCTCAACCAATTGATGATGAACTTGTAAGCATCTTGAGCTGTTACCAGAGGATTAATTTATATGAGACCAAGGACATTATAAACTAGCACTAGTGAGCACTACCACAATGAATTGTTGAGCTATAGTGAATGACTACATCTTAATTGCTAGCTTTGTCATTTCGACATTTATGTCTACTAAAAGATCAAACATTTCTGAAAATAAGGATGTGTTACATAAATATGGCTTTTTGACATTAATAGCCTCATTCAATTCATAGTGATCAGTGTCTTGGTTGTGACCGTGACAATCTTAGCCCATTTGATAACATTCAAACTTTGAAATAATTTGAAAAAATGAAATATGTAGTACATAGTATATCTTATTAAAAAAAGTCATAAAAATATAGAAAACAATAACTAAAATGGTTCACTTTACCAATTTAGACACAAAAGTTACTCCAACATTGCTTTTTATATTTTATGATGTTAAATCATGTTTTAATTAGTTGTATTTGTGTTGCATTTAGTCTAATTAATAGACTATTATTAGACTAGTTATTTTAGGAAAAGCCTTGTAATGTGGCATTTGGACCACCTTAATAAAGAGGTGTTACGATTAGGCAAAGATAAACGATAAATTAAGAGCAAGAACACAAGAATTAACGTGGTTCACGCAATCGGGGTGATTACGCTAGTCCACGGCGAACGAGAGAGAGTATGTATTATTATCAGCGTCCCAAGAGGTTTACAAGTACATAAGAGTCGTTTAAATAGGTTTAGGAAAACCTAAACTGAGATTAGAGCCGCAGGCCCAAAATTAAGCCTGTTTTAAAAATTCCCGTCGCCTGACCCGGTCGGGTCTCTTATTTGACCCGGTCGGGTCTCCTTCACAGAACACAAACCCGGTGGAAACCAGGTCGGGTTTCCAAAACAGAAGGCTTCTGCCTTGCTGACCCGGTCGGGTCCCTTCCCTGACCCGGTCGGGTCTCACATCCAGTGAGATCCCCCGGTCTCTGCTTCAACATACCCGGTCGGGTGGCTGACCATACCCGGTCGGGTATCTGCTCTGAACCTAAGAACAAGACTCCATCTTCAACAATCTCCCACTTGGAGGCTTGGTCAACAATTATCTGCCATCCAAGAACATGTATCTTCTGTAAAACCCCTGATTTCTCTCTCTCTTTTTCTCTTTCTCTCTCGTCCGCGCCTTCTCATCAAGTATCTGGAAGGCCCGTTGAAGCCATGCATAGCTTCAACTTCTCCGTTGTCACCGCCTTGGTAAGCATGTCTGCTGGATTCTTCGTACCAAGGATCTTCTTCAAATTTATAGTACCATCTTCAATCAATTCTCGAATGAAATGATACCTCATCTTGATGTGTTTCGTTCTGCTGTGAAACACCGGATTCTTCGCGAGATGAATAGCACTCTGGTTGTCACAGTACAGACCACAATCCCCCTGTTTCATGCCCAATTCCGAAAGAAAGTTCTTCAACCAAATCATCTCCTTGGCCGCTTCAGCAATAGCCATATACTCTGCTTCTATGGTTGAAAGAGCTACACTCTTCTGTAATCTGGACATCCAACTGATTGCCGTACCTCCAATAGTGAATATGTAACCCGTAGTGCTCTTCCCGGAATCATGACAGCCCCCCAAATCAGCATCTGCAAAACCTTCTAGAATTGCTCCATTCCTCCTGAAACAAAGAGCAATTTCAGAAGTACCTTTCAAGTAGCGTAACAGCCACTTAACTCCTTCCCAATGTTCCTTCCCTGGATTTGACATGAACCTGCTAACAACTCCCACTGCATGAGCAATGTCCGGCCTTGTTGACACCATTGCGTACATCAAGCTGCCAACGGCTGATGCATAAGGAACTTTAGCCATCTCATCTTTGTCTTCATTGGTCTTTGGAGACTGCTGCTTGGAGAGTTTCAACTGACTCCCTAACGGTGTACTCCTTGGCTTGGCATCCGTCATTCTGAACTTCTCAAGGACCTTCTGAATGTACTTCTGCTGTGAAAGCTTTAAAGTACCTTCCACCTTGTCTCTGACTATGCTCATCCCAAGAATCTGTCTCGCCTCCCCTAAATCCTTCATCTCAAATTCTTCAGACAACTTCTTCTTGAGCTTGTTGATCTCCTGCATGTTTGCTCCAGCCACCAACATGTCATCAACATACAAAAGAAGAATAATGTATGAAGACTCGAATTTCTTCAAGTAACAGCAATGGTCCATCTTGCATCTAGTGTACCCATTCCGCTGCATAAAACTGTCAAACTTCAAGTACCACTGTCTAGGAGCTTGCTTCAGCCCGTATAGGCTCTTCTTGAGTTTGCACACCATCTTCTCTTTACCACTCACTGGGAAACCTGCTGGTTGGGCCATGTAAATGTCTTCTTCAAGGTCACCATGAAGAAAAGCAGTCTTCACATCCAGCTGCTCCAAATGCAAATTTTCAGCAGCAACGATACCAAGGATCAACCTGATAGTAGTCATCTTCACAACCGGAGAGAAGATTTCATTGTAATCAACCCCCTTCTTCTGTTGGAACCCCTTGACAACTAGCCTCGCCTTGTATCTTTTGTTCCCATCAGCTTCATCTTTGATTCTGAACACCCACTTGTTCTCCAAAGCTTTCTTTCCCGGTGGTAGCTTGACTAAGGACCAAGTTTGGTTCTTCTCAAGCGAATCTAACTCATCCTCCATGGCCTTCTTCCACTGTATGGAATCCTTCACGGTCAGCGCCTCTGAGTAAGATTCTGGTTCTCCATTCTCGGTCAGCAACAAATAATTTGCTGAAGGAGAATATCTGTTAGGAGGTCTTCTGATTCTGGTGGACTGTCTGACTTGAGGAGTAGCTGCCTCTGAATTTTCACCATCTTCATCACTCCCACTATCTTCAGACATTCCTGTATCTCCTGAGCTCCCACTGCTCCCTGAACCTCCTGTTGTCTCATCACAACCAACAGGTTGTGCTATGTCATCTTCAGTCATCCCGTCAAACACCACTTGTTGCTTGTTTTCTGGTTGCTTGGCTTTGCTAGTTTCTGCTGCAAGACCATCTTTATACAGAGCATTCTCGTTGAAAGTGACATCTCTACTTCTGATAACCTTCTTGCTGTGGTTGTCCCAGAACCTGTAGCCCATGTCATCCATCCCGTACCCAATAAAGATACACTTCTTTGCCTTTGCCTCGAGCTTGTCACTATCTGCATCTCTAACTTTGACATAAGAAATACAACCAAAAACTTTCAAGTGAGTAAGAGATACCTCTCGACCTTTCCATTCCTCTTCTGGAATTTTGAAACCTATGGGAGATGAGGGTCCTCTGTTGATCAAGTATGCTGCTGTGTTCACCGCATCGGCCCAGAACATCTTTGGAAGTCCTGCATGCAATCTCATGCTCCTGGCCCTCTCATTCAGTGTTCTGTTCATCCTCTCTGCAACACCATTTTGCTGTGGTGTTTCTGGAACCGTCTTCAGCATTCTGATCCCCTGTTCAGCACAATACTCTACAAACTCTGTGCTACTGTACTCACCCCCATTATCACTCTTTAAACACTTAATCTTAAGATTTGTTTCATTCTCAACAGCAGCTTTGAACTTCTTAAAAGTGTTAAAGACATCGGATTTATTCTTAAGAAAATAAACCCATACCTTCCGTGTAGAGTCATCAATGAATGTAACATAGTACCGGGAACCTCCAATCGAAGAGACCTTTGTCGGTCCGTAGACATCTGAATGAATCAACTCCAGCCGCTCAATCTTGGGTTGCTGCCCTGTCTTCACAAAGGTTACCCTCTTTTGTTTGCCTAGAACACATGGCTCACAAAAGCTCAACTTTGAATTCTTCAAATCTGGGATTTTGCCCTTTGAAGACAGCATCTTCATTCCGTTCTCACTTATGTGCCCAAGTCTTTGGTGCCACAAAGTAGAGACCCCTGTATCTTCAACTGCTGCGTTTGCCCCATCTGTGGACACTTCAACCATGTACAGTGTACCATGCTTCTGCCCACGAGCAATGACCAGCTTTCCCTTTGTCACCTTCCATTGCTTGTTGCCAAAACTAACGTTATGGCCTTCCTCATCAAGCTGTCCAACTGAGATCAACATCTTCTTCAGGTCTGGAATATACCTCACATCTTTCAGTTTCCAGGTTGTACCCAAAGTGGTACTGAGATCAACATCCCCAATACCCGTGATCTCTAGGGATTTGTCATCCGCCAAACGAACTCTTCCGTTGTAGGGCCTGAAATTTTTCATCAAATCCCTGCAATGACAAGCATGAAACGACGCACCTGAATCCATGATCCAGGACTCAACTGAATTCTCAACGCTGCAAATTAGAACATCTTCATAATCCTCTGCCACGTTCACCTCCTTCTTGCCTTTGTCTGCAGGGGGTTTTGGGCACTGATTTCTGAAGTGTCCATTCTCTTTGCAATTCCAACAATTGATGTCCTTCCGGTTCTTGGATTGCCCTCTCTTTCTCGACTTCGATCTTCCCTTCTTGTTACCTCCTCTAGTGGATTTTCTGCCCCTATCTTCAGTACTCAACAAACTGTTGGAGCTATCCCCCGAACTCCTCCTCCGGATATCCTCACCAAGGATTAAGTCACGAATACCTTCAAAGGTAAGCTTAGTGGTTCCAGATGAACTACTAACCGCTGTGACTGTACCGGACCAACTATCGGGCAAAGATGATAACAAAAGTAATGCTTGGACTTCATCATCGAATTTAATCTCAACCGAGCCTAACCTGGATATGATTGAATTAAACTCGTTGATGTGATCTGTCACGGAAGCACCTTCCTTCATTCTTGTATTCACCAACTGTCTAATCAAGAAAACCTTGTTTGCTGCTGAGGGTTTCTCATACATGTTGGATAACGCCTTGAGCAGTCCGAACGTTGTCTTCTCGTTGACGATGTTGTAGGCAACGTTCTTCGCCAACGACAACCTCACCACACCAAGAGCCTGTCGATCCAACAAATTCCATTCCGCCTCCGTCATCGTTTCTGGTTTGTTCTCAGACAACGGTTGATGAAGCTTCTTCTGGTAGAGATAATCCTCGATCTGCATCTTCCAGAAAGCGAAATCTTGACCATCAAATTTATCGATCTTAACCTTCCCTTCGTCAGCCATAGCTCTGATACCAATTGTTACGATTAGGCAAAGATAAACGATAAATTAAGAGCAAGAACACAAGAATTAACGTGGTTCACGCAATCGGGGTGATTACGCTAGTCCACGGCGAACGAGAGAGAGTATGTATTATTATCAGCGTCCCAAGAGGTTTACAAGTACATAAGAGTCGTTTAAATAGGTTTAGGAAAACCTAAACTGAGATTAGAGCCGCAGGCCCAAAATTAAGCCTGTTTTAAAAATTCCCGTCGCCTGACCCGGTCGGGTCTCTTATTTGACCCGGTCGGGTCTCCTTCACAGAACACAAACCCGGTGGAAACCAGGTCGGGTTTCCAAAACAGAAGGCTTCTGCCTTGCTGACCCGGTCGGGTCCCTTCCCTGACCCGGTCGGGTCTCACATCCAGTGAGATCCCCCGGTCTCTGCTTCAACATACCCGGTCGGGTGGCTGACCATACCCGGTCGGGTATCTGCTCTGAACCTAAGAACAAGACTCCATCTTCAACAAGAGGCCCAATCACACTTAGATCAAATCACTCATTCCCTAGGCATATAAATATTGCCTTAAAGGGAATGAGATCTCAAGCTTTCCCTATTCTGAATATTTCACACCTGAGCCGCAGAGCTATTTTACGAGAGAAGTATTTACGCCAAGTTTCTTCATTCTTCTGTAAAACTTCATCTCTTCAATGGAAAGATTCTTCTACACTATTTGATCACTCTTTATATACTTTAGTGTGGATATAGGGACCAACAAAATGACTAATAAAACATAAAAAAAATTAATTATGTACCGGTCTTCTTGTCTCCTAAATAATGTGTAGTGTCACTTAATGAACGAAGAACAAGGACTCGACAAAACATAAAGAATACTACATCCGTCCCCCTAAGATTGGGACAAAAGAGAGGTGAAGCTTTTAAGAAAAGTAGAGTTGTTTTAAAAAAAAAAGTAGAGTTTTGTGGTTGGTAATGAATTGATAAGACGAGAATAAAGTAAGAATATAATAAAGTAAGAATGAATTAGAGTCACACGAATATTACCAAATATGAATGAGACAAATTTAAGTGAGACAGACATAAAAAGAAAAATGAAACAATTATAAGATGGAGTATTAATTACCAGTCCTCTTGTCTCCTGACGTATTATAGTCACTCGAAGTGTTGGAATAAGAGAAACCAACTCCTGCAGGGGACTCCAGAAATAACACATTTGCAACTGCAACATTATGTATTAAACCAAATATTGTTAGCTAAATTGATAATAGTTACTTTTTGAAGAAGTTAACAACTGTATTCACAAAAGTAATTCTTGGTGTTCACGTATTGTATATGCTTCGCATATTTTGTCTATGTCACAAACAAATTTTGCAATTTTTAGACCAATTGTGTATGATACTAATAAAATGTACAAGACCTGTGTAAAACACGCAAAAATGACGTGTAGATATAAGTTTTGCTTCTCATCTTTTCTTTATTTTCCAAAATATGAATGATGTATTATGCTTTGTGTAATTATTCAAAATTCAAATGGGTACTTTTGTAATTATTACTCCGTATAAATTTATTACAAAAGGACCCCATGTGCATTGTAGCCCTTGATTTGATATATCAATGGTGAAGATTAAGACTTCTCATTTATAAATGAGTTCTCATTTTAAGAGGGGTTCTCACTAGAACTCTCCCCTATATATATATATATATATATATATATATATATATATATATATATATATATAGAGTAAGGATCAAATGAGAATGTCATCTAATGAGAGAACTAAGAATAAATACTAACCATCGGATCATTTATATATTCTAAAGGACCGTGTATATGTTTAAGGGATTAGTTGGTCATTTCTGTATCGATGTTTAATTAACTCCGAAATTGTTGCCACCGCTTGGAGGGCACTTCAATTAACTTCCGTTCTCATAGTGCTAGCTTTACTAATAATTCTTTTTCTATTTTATTGAATTTCATCCACTTTGCAAATTAGATGCATGGAGGTTTACATACAATTGAAGCAAGACACTTTTTGGTGCAATTAAACTTTAGTATTATTTCTTTGAATTTTATTGTAGGCTTATGATGTACTCTCTATTTAATTAATATTCTTTTCCTTCCTCTTATATGTTATGTGATTAATATTGATTCATTAAAACATCATTTAAAATTTGAATTATCGATGATTGATGTGTTTAATTTAAAAAGTGGATTTGGATTGTTCAAGACATGCTAACGTACCCATTATCATTAAAAATTGCAAATTTTTAGCATACACGATTATGATATTTTCATTTATGGTGAACTTATGTGTTAACATAATGGCTCATGATTGTACTAGGGTTCTTCAATTTTTAAAATGTGTGCACTTTTATGGTCTCAAGTATGCACTTTGGATCTATCACTTTTGCACTTCATTTAAGAATACAAACAAATGTCATGACTCTTTTCCTCAGATAATTATGAGTATATGAAAAGCTAATAAAATTAGTAATATCTATCGAGTTGAGAGTTTTGAGTGCATACACAAGGAACAATTCATCATGTGGATGATTATGTAGTATATGATGCACACGTAAAAAATTAGCAATATGCCATGCATAAAAGTGCATTTAAAAGTGGTCAATATTTTGAATATAGTACAACATGTATATTGCACTTACTTACATTTTAAAGTGCATAATATGCAAGTGTCTTACGATGCCTCTTTTTAAACATAAAATATGTAGTGTATAATGTTTCAATAAAATGAGTATGTAGTGCATGCTATGCTCCTTATAAGTGCATAATTCCTTATAACTCAACTATACATATATCATTCGCATACATAAAACGAGTATGTTGATTAAAAGTGCATATACTTCATGTCATATAATTATACTCCACACATAATGCACAATAATTTCAGCAAAAGTGCATTCATTCAATAGTTAAACCATATATAGATGTGCACAAGTGCACGGATAAAGTGCCGATTGATGCTATACAAAGTGCAAAGTAATATTACATTAATTCATTATAAAATGTATTAAAATAGTACAAAGTGCATAACATAATATGCATTAATATATAATATTTTGATGCACTTATCAATTCTTATTCATGCACTTTTCATTATTTTTAGTTTTCTTTTTTGCTGGTATAGGGACACCAAAAAACAATGTCATAATTGTCACGTTTAGAAAAGAAAAACTGCATTATATATTTTGTAAAAAGTGCTAATGTTTCGTTCCAGTTGTGTGATATAATAGTGCACTTTTCCGTATATTTAAAACATACACGATAAAAGTGCATTTCGCTTTGTTAAAAAGTGTCAACATATAATTTTACAAAGTATGATATCATAGTGCACTTATATTTATATTTGAAATGCATATGCTTATTTTAATTTTTTTTTAGAAATACATGAAAGTGCACAACTACAACGATAAAAGTGCAAATGTTTTTGCTTATAATAAAATTTACAATCAAACTACAAATCACATTATTGTTATTACAGTGAAATGCACTTTAAATTTTAATCCTTGCACATAATAATGTTTCTACCTATGATAAATGCACATGTAATCTACAATAAATTCTTTCTTTTCAAATCAAATAAACAAGAATACTTAAATAAATAATTCCAAAATTTTCAAATAAGAGTGCATCCATTCAAGGTTGGAGTGCAAACAGGAACTCATGTTCATTCTATTAATGAAATATTATACATTAAAATAAAAAATGAAATGTTTTAAAAAGTGAAAAAGTGAAAAGGTGAAATAGACAAACGAAATTTTTTGAAAAGTAATGGACATACATACGGAGTATTAAATTTGCACAAGGTAAATCTATCTTGTTGAAAGATAATGGCACATTTATTGGGATATTCTTTCCGTATGTGTACTGGTGCATGCCAACTTTCATTGAAGTCTTTTACTTAATTGCCCCTTACGTATTATTTTTATGAAGTCTTGCCGATTTGGAAATCAACACGCGCACATCATGTGCATTTTTTTTCCTCCGAATCCTGAGATGCAAGCCGCACGATCAGAAGAATCCAGGGTCCAATTTTGTTCTTATTTCTCTCCTGGGCCTATGTTCTCACTTGATCCTTCCCCTATATATATATATATATATATATATATAGAGAGAGAGAGAGAGAGAGTTTGGATCAAATGAGAATATCATCTAATGAGAGGAATAAGAATGGAGGAATAAGAATGCATCTCTACCATTGATTTCGTATGATCAATTAACTTGCCGGGGTTAGTACTAACGGCATAAGTTGATGCGCCGTCATTAAATTTAAGGATGCTCCACCTCTTGATGTACTCCGTATGGCACTATTACATACGTAACTTCCATATATGTCAACTCTTTAATTTAAGCATTCACTTTTCAACTTGATCATAATTGTAAGCCAACTCTTTTGGTCAAAGATTTTTTACTTTTTGGGAGTACATTTTTAAGCTCTCTCCAATTAAGAGTATTACACTACCGAACTAACTTGTATTTAAAAAATTATTTAAAAGTATTTGTTTGTCAATAGCTATATTCTTTCAAAACGTTTTTATTTAATTTGGATTGCACTTTTTAAGAATGTTGCTGCATTTTAGTATAATTATTATTTAATAATAGTTCTTTCTTTCATTTTTAAAATAGTAATAACAATAATAATTATGTAAATGCACAATTATTTTGGTTGCAATGCATGAATAATAGAGTCACACCTTATTGAGAGAATAGTTAAAAGAAAAATGAGAATGAATCTGATCGTTAAAAATTGTGCATGACGTGAAACAAAAATGTGCGTTCCTATGAATCACAAAGTGCAGCCACAATTTTTAAACAAATTAAGTTGTTATACCACTTTGAATTGTGCATTATTTGAACCATAAATATGCAATATCATTAATCAAGATGTGCATCATTTTAGGCCGTTCTCATTTTTCACGTGAGAAATTGTTCTCATCAAAACCATATTATAAAAGAGTAATGAGAATGAATCTGATCGTTAACAATTGTGCATAGTTTGAAACAAATAATTGTTTAATCTGTCATTAATTACAAAGTGCAGGTACATTCTCAAATAAATTAAATTCTTATCCTACTTTAAATTAATGTGCATTACATTTACCATAAATGTGCAACATTATTAACCAAGATTTGCATCGTTTTAGGTCATTCTCATTTATTACGTGAGAAACCATTCCTCCAAAATCATATCCTAAAAGAGAAATGTGAATGATTCAGATCATAAAAATTGTGCATGATTTGAAACAAAAATGTGCTTGTCATGATTTGAAACAAAAATGTGCTTGTCATAAATTAAATCGTTATATCACTTTAAAATGTGCATTATGCTTACCATAAGTGTGCAACATCATATCATTAACCAAGATGTGTATCGTTTTATATCATTCTCATTTGTCACGTTAGTGCAATGATTTGCACAATTGATAGTTTTATGTAATAATATATGTGCACTAATAGCCTAGAAGTACACTAAAAGTAAATAGAGTGAATAATATATGATAGCGATCTAAACGAAAAATGAATGTATGTGATTGTTAAAATTGTGCACTATGTAAAAGAAAAATGTGCATTGTAATGGATCACAGAGTGAAGCCACATTTTAAAAATAAAATAAAATGTTATACCACTTTGAAACAAAAATGTGCTTGTCACTAATCACAAAGTGCAATTACTTTTTTAAAAAAATTAAATTGTTATACCACGTTAAATTGTGCATTATTTTTACCATAATGTGCAACATCATTAACTAAATTTACCCCAATTAACTTTTTTATATGTTAATTACTCCGTAATATATGTGAATTAGTCATCTAGATATACACTAAAAATAAATAAAGCATGTTATTCATTCAATAAATAAAAGTACGTACTATGAAAAAGTAACACATGGTGGATAATAGAAGTAACAATGCACTAATACATGGTGGATAATAGAAGTAACAATGCACTAATACACAATAACTATATTCCATCCGTGTAATTGTCTCACCTAGTTTGCTGACTTTTGGAATCCATTTAACCGCCTTAAAGGAAAGAGTTGGTTACCATTAATAATTAAATTATCATTGTAAACTTTCAGTTAAGTTAACGTGAGATGCTCCGTTAGTTGTCCAAATTAGTTTGGACTAATTTCATTTATGTCACCGTTTTAAACTCAATAATGCCGTAGATCTTTTATTTTGGGTGAATATGATTTGTTCTTATTTTGGGTATATATATAGGCTATATATATATATATATATATATATATATATATATATATATATATATATATATATATATATATATATATATTGGAAATAATATTCAATATAATAAAACCGACTATTTGCATATATACTAAAGTGAAACATGGCTATTTTCATAGAAATTCAATCATTTGAAATATTGAATCATCACAAGATATATCCAAATATCAAGGAATTGAAGTAACTTCGTTATGAAATAATTAATCTTTATTTGATGGTTTAATATTAGATATTTTCCATAAAAATAGAAGCACCACATATGAGAAGGATTTTTATTAAATCTCAATAACTCAATTGACATGTATATACCTCTATTCCAAGCAAATTTCCTAGCATAAAGAGTTTTGCCATCAGGATTGACGCCAAAAGGTCCAACCTCGTTAAAGGCACCTACTCCAAGTGATGAGCAACCAGGCCCTGCTTAAAGTCACAATATCTATATTTATTAAACTAGTCATCATACATAATAACTATGAGACTAATAAATTAAAGTAACAACGGAGTAAGTAAGCTAAATGATAAAAAATGAAAGAGTTTGTAAAAATAAAATAAGAAAAAACTAGGTTACACTCAATGACGTCCGTCCACTGTACAACTGGCTGTACGGTGAGCATCGTACAGCCGGTGGCATTTTGTAATATAATGTGAAAATCGAGGTTTTTGCTAAATGAGCATTAGTGTACTGTTAATGAGTAATAGTCCATATCTAATGAGTATTAAGAGTCTAATAGTGAGCACCGTGTTATTACGAGAAAGCTGATATCGCAACTAAAAAATGGTGGCATTTTCATAATTTCTGTGAAAATCGCGGTTTTCATCATATGAACATTAATACACTTTTAATGAGCATCATACGTATTCTACTATGCATTAAGACTCGAATAATGAGTATTGTGATATCAACTTCATATATTTAATTCACTTTCTTTTTCTTATTTTTTTCTTTTATAAAATATCATTAAATTATATTTATAAACAGTTCCTATGAATTTCAATATGCGAATATAATGTAATATGATACTTTTGAAATATGCATTGTTATGACATTTTAAAAATGAGCACATCAGTACCAAATTAGCATACGTAACGTATAAATGAACATTGATATGAAAATCGTAAATTTTGTTAGTTGAGGATCATGCAATTTAAGGATTATGCAATTTTAATTAGTGAGCATCAGACATGTTTTGTAGAGCATGGGAAGCCTAACAATGAGTGTCGTGATCTGCTCTATATATTCGAATTCACTTTCTTTTTCTTATTTTTCCTTTTTAAGAACTTACTAAATATTATCAATAATCAATTCATATGAACTTCAATACGCGAATCTAATGTAATATGCAACTTTTGAAATATGCATTGATATGGCATTTTTAAAATGAGCATAACATGAGCACCAATTGAGCTTAAGATACTTACAAAATGAGCATTGATATGAAATCATAAGTTTTTTAGTCCAACTTCAAGACATTTTTATTGAACATCAAAATTTCTTTTATTGAGTACCAGAAGCATGCAATTGAGTATCATGATCTTTACTCCAATGTATATTATCTAACTCTTATGTGAATCTAAAATGATGCTTTTGATATCTGCATTAATATGACATTTTCAAATGAGCATAAAATCAGTATCAGATGAACATGCATAACTAACAAAATGAGTATTGAAAAATTCAAAAGCTCGTTTGAATTATGTAATGTATTCAAATGCTCATTTGTGCGCATATAATGACAAATATAGTAGTTTATATTAAAAATAATTTATAATATTTTGTTCTCGAATTACAAATATAATCGGGTTCTTTTATAATGTTTTACCCATGCATATTTATTTCACTATACTCATTTTAGTATAACATAACACAAAACACGCGTTAGTAATTAACACACAATATTTAATAAACTAATAAATATTCATTTTAAATTAAAAATAGAAAAATAAAACATTAATACCTACAATATTTTATAATACATAAATAAAAAACTTAAGTTGGAAGCTAGATTGGAGAAAGAAAAAAAATAAACTGAAACATTTAATAATATTTTATACACCTTCATAATTGGATATAACATTAAAGTAAAATATTTTTTTGACAACCAAGTAAAACAGTGTTAAAAAAATAAAGAAAAAGAAAGAAGGAAACAATAGGTCAAAGCAACGAAAAGAAGAAATGTAAAAAGACATTAGAAAATTAAAGAAAAAGAGAAAACCAACTAGCAGTACACGTAACGAAAAAAATAAAAGGGAAATGACAAAAGAAAAAAGTTAACGATTAACAAATGATCTAGCAGAAAGAAAATGCCGGCGGAAGAAAGAAAAGCAAAAGGACAGAACCGGCCTAACTATTACCCTACAAACTACAGTTAATTACAAAAATGTCGGTTGTATCATGCTCATGGTACAACCGGCTGTATCGTTGTACCATATAATTTTATACGTAAAAGCACTACACTGGAGAGAGAAAATCATCATATCAAGAATAAATGCTGGGCTGATTGCTGTTTCCTTATGATTAATTAGTAGTTGTTGGGCCATTTGTTATTTGGGCTTTATTAGTAGTTCTATCCTATTGTATAAATATAAAGTATGTACTGTAGTTCATTATCGAGCTATTCATTCTCTTCTACATTGTTCTATCAATATTTCTCAGATCATCTTCTTCAAGTGATATTCTCCAAGAACCTCATTTTTCTGCTTTATCTTTGTAATATGGTATCAGATTAGCCTAAACACGATCTATATTCTCTCTTCCGTTCTTCCGTTGTTATTTCAATCGATTTCTACAATCGGTTCTCCTTAATTGATTTCTACGATCGATTCGTTCAATCCTACTATGAATCCTCCAAACCCTATTGAGGATCCTACTTCTCCTTACTATCTTCATCCAGGAGATCACTCGGGTACCCGCATCATCTATGAAACCTTCACAGGCGACAATTTCAGTGCATGGAAGAAGTCAGTTGTTATGTCCTTCACGGTCAAGAACAAGCTAGGGTTTCTGGATGGATCGATCAAACAACCTTCAACTGATGATCAGATGCGTTATTCTTCTTGGTATCGTATCAATGCTCTTCTCCTATCTTGGTTGATGTATTCTATTTCTCCTGATATTCGTTCCACTTTTCTGTACTTTACTGATGCCAAGAATCTCTGGGATGAGATCAAGCTTCGTTATGATAAGAGCGATGGTCCCAGGGTTTTTCATCTGGAGAAAACCCTAACTAATATTTCTCAAGGAACACAAACCATCACTGCTTATTATAATCTTTTTAAAAGTCTGTGGGATGAATATGTGAATTACCGCCTTATTCCTACTTGTAACTGTGGTCTCTGTACTTGCAAAATCAATGAAGTTTATCAAAAATTGCTTGACCGAGATTCTGTTATGAAATTCCTCATTGGTTTGAATGAATCTTACTCTAATTTGAGAAGTCAAATTCTTCTTCAACCAAATCTGACTCTGACCACAGTATACTCTTCTTTTCTTCAAGAAGAATCCCAAAGATCTCTTCAGAATCCTACTGGTTCTATTCCACTTTTCACTGATCAATCCTCTGCTTCTCAAATCCCTATTCATGACTCCACTGCTTTTCTTGCCAAATTCCATTCTTCTAAAAAGAAAAGCAATGTTACTTGTACTCACTGCGGTTACCAAGGTCATTCAGCTGAAAAATGTTTCCAAATTATTGGTTATCCCAACAACTGGAAAGGACCTAAAGGTCAAAGATTTGCCCCTGGTTTCAAATCTTCTCAACTTTCAACAAAAACTCCTCAAGCTCATCTAGCAAATGTTTCTGAGGAATCTATTCCTAATGACTTGGATTTCTGTGATCCTGACCTTTACAACAAGTTTCTTCAGTTTATGCATACTCAACAGACAAAGTCTGCTTCTGCTAATGTTGCTTCTGCTAATGTTGCTCTGGCTATTAATGATGCTGGTGATACTTCTCTCACCAATCACAGTGAGTTCATAGGTAAACATTTTAGTTTTAATGCTTTTAAAAAATTTCCTATCTGGATTCTTGATACTGGTGCATCTGACCACATGATTTCTGATTTCTGTCTTTATACTTCAAACACTAAATCTATTTCTATAAATATTCAATTACCAACTGGTACTTTTATTCAAGCTACTCATATAGGAGACATTATTCTTACTGATAATCTGACATTGCATAATGTGCTTTATGTTCCTAATTTCAGTTTTAATCTCATTTCTGTCTCTAGTTTAGCCCTCTATGAGAACATATCTGTTCATTTTAGTTCCAATCATGCTGCATTGCAGGACCACCTTACCAACAAAATCATTGGCTTTGCTGAAATTCAAAATGGACTATATCATTACAATCCTGCAACTTCTTCTTTCCCAAACCATCATCAATCTGCTTTCCAATCTGTTGCTAATTCTGCAAACACTCATTCTGAAAGTCCTGATATTTGGCATTATAGATTAGGTCATTTTCCTTATACAAAGTTCAACATGCTGTTTGATTGTAATGTTGCTAATAATTGTACTAGTACTGTTCCTTGTGATATCTGTCACTTTGCTAAACAAAAGAGATTACCTTTCAATAACAGTGATTCTTATGCTACTTCTGCTTTTGATTTAATTCATATGGATGTTTGGGGACCATATAGAGTTACTTCTTATTCTGGTTTTAAGTATTTCCTTACTATTGTTGATGATCATACTCGTTGTACTTGGGTTTTTATGCTAAAAACAAAATCTGAAGTTAAATTTCATATGATCAATTTTCATAAAATGATTGAAACTCAATTTCATAAAAGAATAAAATGCATTAGAACTGACAATGGTACTGAATTTATTTTTCCAGATTTTTATAAAAGAAATGGTATTATTCATCAGCTTTCTTGTGTTGAAACTCCTCAACAAAATGCTAGGGTTGAAAGAAAACATCAACATATTCTTCAAGTTGCTAGAGCTTTATTATATCAGTCTTGTTTACCTCTTATTTTTTGGGCTGATTGTGTTATGACTGCTGTGCATATTATCAATAGATTACCTACTGCAATTCTAAAAAATAAATCCCCTTTTGAATTACTTTATGGGATCAAACCTAATTATTCTCATCTTAAAGTTTTTGGGTCTCTTGCTTATGCTTCTACCCTTTGTGCAAATAGAACTAAATTTGACCAAAGGGCAATTAAGTGTGTTTTTATTGGATATCCTTTGGGATCCAAAGGATATAAACTCTATGATTTATCCAATCATAAAATTTTCATTTCAAGAAATGTTAAATTTTATGAAATGATCTTTCCATATAAAAATACAACACTTGATTCTATATCAAGCATGACAGACAATTCTCAAACACCAAATAACATTGATTTGTACACTTTTGAAAGTTATCCAAAACAGTTAAACACTCAACCTACTTCTGAAAATCATTATGACCATATTGAAAACCAAATACATGATGAAGCTGCTATTTTTAATCACCATGATTCCTCAAGTTTGATGCAGGATAACAACAATGCTAGTATGGTTGAACAACATGTTCAAAGACAGTCTACAAGAGTAAGATTTGTCCCTATTCATCTTAAAGATTATGTATATGAGTTACCTGGTTCTTTAGATAAGACCACTAATGCTAATACTTCTGTTTGCAATTTCATTAGATATCCCATAAGTAACTATATTACTTATGACAGATTAACCTCTTCCCATAAATGTTTTACTGCTGCCCTTTCTAACACCATTGAACCCAAAACTTACCAACAAGCTATAAAATTTCCTGAATGGAAAAAAGCCATGAATGATGAAATTCAAGCTCTTGAAAATAACAAAACCTGGATTCTTGTCAACTTACCTGAACATCAACATACCATAGGGTGTAAGTGGGTGTTCAAAACTAAATTCAAATCTGATGGTTCTTTAGATAGATACAAAGCTAGATTAGTAGCAAAAGGTTATACTCAAGAAGAAGGTTTAGATTACTTTGATACTTTTTCTCCTGTTGTTAAGCTTACAACTGTCAGAATACTTCTAGCTATTGCATCTGCTAAGAATTGGTATTTGCACCAACTTGATGTAAATAATGCTTTTTTACATGGTGATTTATATGAAGAAATATATATGAAGGCTCCTCCAGGTTATTTAGCAGCTGATGACAACAGAGTCTGTAAACTCCTTAAGAGTTTATATGGGTTAAAGCAGGCTTCAAGACAGTGGTATTGTAAATTGTCTGAATCTCTTAAATCTTTTGGTTATAGTCAATCTCAAGCAGACTTTTCTTTATTTACTAAAGTAACTAAAACTTCTTTTACTGCTTTACTATTATATGTTGATGACTTAATCCTTGCAGGTAATGATTTAAATGAAATCAGTTCTGTAAAAACTTTTCTGCATAATAAATTCACTATAAAGGACCTTGGAGAATTAAAGTATATCTTAGGAATTGAAATTGCTAGATCTAAAAAAGGTCTTTCCCTTTGTCAAAGAAAATATACTTTGGACATTCTTTCTGATGCTGGATACATTAACTCAAAACCTTTTTCCACACCTATGGATCCTAAACTTAAACTTTCTAAAACTCAGGGAAAACTTTTAACTGACCCTAAAAGCTATAGAACTTTAATTGGTAGACTTCTTTACTTAACTGTTACCAGACCTGATATAGCATATAGTATACAAACTTTAAGTCAGTTTCTTTCTAATCCTACTGATATTCACTTAAGTGCAGCTCATAGAGTTCTCAAGTATCTCAAAAACTCCCCAGGTAAAGGCCTTTTTTATCCATCCTCTTCTGACTTTAAATTACAAGGTTATACTGACTCTGATTGGGCAGCCTGTATTGATACCAGAAGAAGCATATCTGGATATTGTTTTTATCTTGGAGATTCTTTAATCTCTTGGAAATCTAAGAAACAAGCTGTTATCAGTAGATCTTCTACAGAAGCAGAATACAGGGCTGCTGCTAATGCTGTTTGTGAAGCCCAATGGCTTTCATATATTCTTCAGGACTTAAAAATTAATCATTCTTTGCCTATTTCTTTATATACTGATAACAAATCTACATATCATCTTGCTTATAATCCCATTCAACATCAAAGAACCAAACATATTGAATTAGACTGTCATTTAATTCGAGAAAAAATAAATGCTGGGCTGATTGATCTTATACATATTAAAAACAGTTTTCAACTTGCAGATATATACACAAAAGCTTTAGGGAATCCTCTCTTCAACCAGTTTGCATCCAAGATGAACCTGATTGACATCCATGCTCATCTTGAGGGGGCGTATCAAGAATAAATGCTGGGCTGATTGCTGTTTCCTTATGATTAATTAGTAGTTGTTGGGCCATTTGTTATTTGGGCTTTATTAGTAGTTCTATCCTATTGTATAAATATAAAGTATGTACTGTAGTTCATTATCGAGCTATTCATTCTCTTCTACATTGTTCTATCAATATTTCTCAGATCATCTTCTTCAAGTGATATTCTCCAAGAACCTCATTTTTCTGCTTTATCTTTGTAATACATCATCATCATATACCTAAAAGCACTACACTGGAGAGAGAAAATTCTCCCGCCTAGTGCAAAGGGCTATTCTGTAATTTTCTCCGCTCATGCTCCTCTTTAGGTTTCTCTGCCTTCTCTTCTTCACCCGATGCGCACTCCCAATGTCTTCTTCTTCCTGAGTCCACACTCCATATTAAAATCCTATGCCTAAAAGCACTACACTGGAGAGAGAAAATTCTCCCGCCTAGTGCAAAGGGCTATTCCGTAATTTTCTCCGCTCATGCTCCTCTTTAGGTTTCTCTGCCTTCTCTTCTTCACCCGATGCGCACTCCCAATGTCTTCTTCTTCCTGAGTCCACACTCCATATTAAAATCCTATACCTAAAAGCACTACATTGGAGAGAGAAAATTTTCCAGCCTGGTGCAAAGGGCTATTCCGTAATTTTCTCCGCTCATGCTCCTCTTTAGGTTTCTCTGCCTTCTCTTCTTCACCCGATGCGCACTCCCAATGTCTTCTTCTTCCTGAGTCCACACTCCCACTACAAAAAAAGTGCACATAGACTGCACATGGACCATATTTTTTTTTCCGATGGCAGCATAACTGTCGTTGAAAACACCATTAACCACACATTTTTTTATTTACCACACACAAAAATGTGGTAAAAGCTGAGAGACGACAGTTTTTAACCGTGGCCAATGTTTTTACCACAGCTGTTGTGCCGACGCACCTAAAACTGTCGCAAAACCGTCGTAAAAACATAAGGAGAAACATTTACGACAGTTTTGCGTCAGTTTTACGTGCGTCGCCACAACAGCCGTGGTAAAAACATTGGCCACGGTTAAAAACTGTCGTCTCTGACCTTTTACCACAGTTTTGTATGTGGTAAATAAAAAAATGTGTGGTTAATAGTGTTTTTAACGACAGTTATGCGGCTATCGCAAAAAAAAATATTGGTCTATGTGCGGTCTATGTGCACTTTTCTTGTAGTGTCCACATTAAAATCGTTGCTTTAATTGACGAGATCTACAAGCTTCACCTGCCTGCCTGCCTCTCCCAGTCGCAATAGAGGAGCAAACTGCCCTTGCCGTTAGAAGCCATCAATGCCGCACCTCAGGCCTCTGTAGGTGGTAGCTGACACAAAGAGAAATTTGTCTTCTTCTTTCACCTAAGCTTTTCCATTTGATTTAAATTGTTATAGGTAAGGTATTTTTTTGACGAATAGCATTCTTTTCTGGGATTTAGATTACATGGAATCTTAAGCCAAATCCATATTTTGCCACTGGATAAGAAATTTTGCCGTTGGGATTGACTGGCTGACTGTGGAGGACATGGCTTAGAGCTTTCTTCTTCGTCTACGAGAAAATATAACCTCAGCCCTTCTTCTTAAAGTTAAGTTTTCCAATCCATTCAAATTGACCTTTTTATAGATTAGGTTTTTTCTGATCAAATTCTATAAATAGTGATGCGCTACTGATCAAATTTGGCAGTAAGCACACACTTTATAAGAGATGGGTATATTGTATAGAATAGGATTTTCATGTCAATCACCAGTAGCACATCACTCTTTTTTATGTTTGTGCTTTAGTCAAATTTCATGTGATTAAACAGTAGCACATCACTTTTTTTATTTATCTTATATGGGATGGATTTATTGTGACAACAATTAGGAACTTTTTATGATTAGGAAAAAAGGTATTTCCGTTATAAAACTGCAGCTCTTTGACTTTATTTGGTGATATGGTTGATTCAATTGGATTTAATGATTAATCTTCATTTTTTAGTCATACTATACTACTTGAGATATACTATGTATCTAATGCACAAAGAAGTATCAT